ATTCACACATGTACTAAGTTTCCAGTTAATACAATTCTACCATGAATAATAAACATTTATCATGATATAAGGAAATATAAATAACAACTTTATTATTGTCTCTAGGGCATATTTCCTTCAACCACTACAATATTAACATCTTATGTTTGTACCATGAGCTTTCGGTTAAACATATCCAATTCAACATGTGGCATGAACATTCCCTACACATACAAATCACTTTCCAATGCACTTCCTCATTGTGGTATGATATTGGTCGCAATATTGAATTATCGTTTGTGGCATAAAGATAATGTACATGATACAACTTTGGTGGACTTGATAATCACATTTGTCACCAAACACTTCTGCAAGGGGGCAAATTTATCCCTTGGACGAGTATCGTCGAGGACATTCCAACGCCTAAAGTTCTAAATCAACCTACACATCATCACTGGTGGCATCGCCCTGACGATCACAACAAATGACACTAGGGGCAATACCATCCCCTGGTTTTATCATACTATCGACAACATTCTGACGCCTAAAGTTCTACATCAACCTATACATCATCACTAGTGGCATCGCCCTGACAATCACAACAAATGACACCGGGGGCAGTATCATCCCCTGGTTTTACCATAGTATCGACAATATTACGACGCCTAGCTATATTCTACATCAATCTATGCATCATCGTTGGTGGCGTCACTGCCTAATGATCACAACAAAAGACACCAGGGGCGACGATATTCTGGCACGATTTCCACTACATTGAAGTGTCGCTCTAGTGCATTGACACTTCATATTTTATGGGAGCGGTGAAGCATGCCAGTGCGGCCAGTGCGAATATGTGAAACCCTTGAAGTCTTGATGGCTGGTACCATGCAGTTTTACGATCGCATCTCACTTGATAAAAATTCCATGCCAGTGGCAATTTCCTGGTAAATCAGAGGCATTAACTACTGGCTGGCACCATCACTGCATTTGGTCGCAGTGGGAATGAATAAAATCTTTTTTCCTAGCATGTGGTATGGGCATTTCTCCATATCTAGTGTGATTATATTCATCCTCACAGATGTATATTAAATGATAGCATGGATATTCGCTACAAAAAAAAAAGATCTGTCCCGGCAAGAAAAAATCCGTTATGTCAGTCAGTACTGGCATACTTCATATTTATATGTGTATTTTCTATCCTAACAGGCAAGATCATCAGTTATTTTATAATTGCACTAAACTGTCTTCCAAAGTCATGTTTCTACTGCATCGTGTGCCTGATATGCATGAACTCAACTCTACTCTACGGGGGCATTACTCAACATTCTTCTCAATATGAGCCTGACCAAAATATATATAGATGTTCATTGCATATGAGCCTGACCTACAGGAAATGAAGCAAGGCCTGTATGCACGTCAGTTTTGCTAGTATAAAAAATTCTACTCTATGAAGAGAAGGCCCTTTGAACCTCGTCGAAGCAATTCCCCATGCACGCCGCCCTTTGTCTCAAAAAAAAAAGTCATGTTATCCAGTAACTATGTATCACTGCTAGTTGTATACAGTCTCACGTTTAATCGGTCGGGTGTTGCGTCATGAGTAATTTTCTCCACGGAGCTGCGATACGATGATATGGTCAGTCCCTGCAAATATTCTAAGGTCAATGGGGCCTCTTCCTTACTCCTTTGCCCAAGGACTGCTTCTACCATGGTGAAGGGTTTTTTAAACCTTCCCTGCTTATTCTTTTGATGTGCTAGCGTTCTCTCTTGAGGATTCACAGATTTGAGTTGATTGTCGTAGGCAGGGCAACAACTATGGTTTTTCTGCCTCTCTGACGATTTATCTGATATGATGGCTTTCTACTTAGATTGTCCACATCAACCTTGCTCATGTTACCTACACACACATACACAAATGTGTGAAAAGAAACAGACAAGGTTGCATAAGACATGCATCAGCTTGAAATACAATTCCTTATTTTCCATGAGTGCGTACCTCCAAGGGGACTCGTCATAGGCTATTGCCGTTGGAGGGCACCTGACCCTTGTGAACGCGAACAAAACAAGTCTAATGGCTAGCATCGTACAGTTCTTGATCCCATCATGCTTGATAAAAAACAAAATTAAGCCAGTGGCGATTCACCCTTTAAGGTCGGTGGCTGGCACTGTAGTTATTTAACGGTCGCACCAGACTTGATAAAGTTTCATCATTTCGATTCAAGGCTCGGGATCGGGTGTAACAAAATAGCAACTATTGGCGCCAACATAAATTTGGTCGCAATAGAATTTCGATATCTCTTGGCTGGCACCAACAAACTTGGTCGCAATGCAGGTTTTTTCTCTCCTGTTCATTCTCTTCCTTGGTAGGCGCCAACATGGTGGCAATGGAGGAAATAAGGATACTCCCATCAAAATAGTTAAGATAAGCATGCCATAAAATGTTTGGCATGGTTTATCAAGGGTATTTCGACATTTCACTGATATTTCCAGTAAAGTTATGGCCTGAGCTTTTGCTACACTTTACATTCCAAGTCATACCATGATAGTATGGATACGAAGCATGAGTATAGAACTTCGGAGCATTCGATAATACAATTCAGGTATGGACGGCAAAAAATTGTCGTTGAAATGACCAATGGATTATTTCACCAAGTGTAGTCTGTACTAGAAACTAACGCGCACTTTGCTGCGCCATTCTTCAGTCATGGGGTTCACATTTTCCCCTCTTGCAAGCATATTGTTAGCCTTCATCCAACCTACAACAGATTTGGGATCTAAAAGCAAAAAAACATCTACCAATCAAAAAAAGCTACAACTAAAAATTCAGAAAGAAGAGGAGGCGGGACATCTCTAGATCAGTCTAGCTCTGCCTTTGCCTGCACCATTGGTTACCATGAGCAAAGATAAGTGAAGTTGCTAGGAGGGTCCTCCGATATCTATCTCAAATACAAACAGATAACTGCTACATTCATGCAGTAAGCAGGCTCCACACGCACCATATCGATCTAGATTATGCATCCCCAGGCTAAATTACTACTCAGACAACACCAGGCTGAATTACTACTCAAACAACCTTGTTCAAAGAACTAAAATTAAATTATAGCACATATTCACAAAAATTTCTGAAATTATGCATGGGTGAACTTGACTCAACTAAACGGAACTAAAATCAAGCTTCTCTCTAGACATCACACATATGTTGCAGGACCTATCGCAGGGGATGGAACTTCTGAAGCTCACACTCTGAATTACTGCAATCTGGACACCATGGTTAGCTGATACTATGTTGTTTACTGCCAGGCCAAATTCTAATGACCTTTTGCCATAGTTGCTTCACAAAGGGATAAGACAATTAAAACATGTGCAGGGGTTGCTCTCATCTATCAAATACCCACACGAATTAGATAAAATTCAGACTAAGCAAAATATACCTGAGAAATTGAGTGAAAAGAAGCTAAAATATGTTCCCTAATAGATTAAGTGAACATAGATCAAAGGCATCATTTTCTTTTGAGTCAGTTTCCATAGCTATACCAACATCAGCAGATGACAAAGATGACGCATCATTCATTTCATCGTGAGCGGTTCACTGTTGTCAGCAGAAAATATATATCCGATATAGAAGAAATAGACATGTATGCTAAAAACATACAACCTTCTTAAGGTCGAAATTGGAACTTCCGTCATATTATCGGCAAATGACGACTGTATAAAGATTTTAGTTTTGAATTGTGCATGGCAGTTAGATATCTCTTCTTTTCAAAGTAGTGAAACACAACAATTTCACGGCAACCTATTTTGGAAGCCCATGGAGAAGTGAGAAAATGAATGTATTAGCTATAACATATAAATTACCATCACAACTTTATGCCCTCCCCTCCCAAAGTTGATATATATGCTCTCCTTTAAAAAAGAGTTGATATGTATGCCCAACTTTTCTTGTGGAGCTAGGGAGAGTTTGTTTTTAGTCCCGATTCTAATTTTTTTTAAGCTTTTCGCTGCTTCTTTCCTTATAATACATATGTTGTGATTAGAATCCAATAAAAATACATATGTTGTGATTACTTCCCCCTGTAGTCTGTTTATTAACCAGGAAAAGGAAGAAAATTACACATGTTGTATTTCAGTATACAGATCATGATAGTAACATATGCAGCACTTGCATGACAATACAAAGGGCAACTCAAAAAGTCCAGATGCAGGTCCTGTGTATGCTCTATGCCTCCTTTCTTTCTTTATTTCGATGATTAATGACACGAAGATAAGTGTGTTGTTTACAATCACAAGTAACAACACAAAACTTGGCAAACTAAAATACAGCCGAGAGACAAATGGAAGGAAAGTAGGAAACATATTAGATGTTTGAATGATCACTTACTGTTTAATTGGTAAAGAAATAAGTTTGATCCTTAACCTTAAATACCAATCAGAGTCTGAAGGTGATCTCAACTAAACATTATGTAAATAAAAGAGCCAGCTGATTTGTTTGTATATGTCCAAGATTTCGTTGTAGGATGAAAAACAGAACTCAACTGATACCGAATCCAACAACATTGGAGCTAATTAAGCAAGCTATTTTAAAGTACCTTGTCTCTAAAGAGTTTGTGCATCGATGAGCTTTCAGCATTCTCAAAGTGTGGATGGACTATATGTTCATAATGTCCTGAAGCTATGTAATCAAATCCCAAATTTTAGATTGCTTCTATGAAAGCTCTTGTAGAAATGAATGAAAAGAATAAGCACATGAACAAAAGTTGAAGAATATTATAGCTCGATGTATATGCAAATCAATAACAGAAGTGTGCACATCCACACCAAACTTTATTCTTGTATTACAAAGAGCATCATGGTCTGGTTTACCCCTACCGTACTCTTTAATAATATGAAACACCTAGATATTAAATCCACACAGCAGGCCAGGAAGTAAAAAAATTAAAAATAAAACATAACAGACAAAAGCTACTTATTTGTAGACATATTGGAAAGCACTCAGAATTCTCAATTCCTCATGTGTAGCTTTACCCCTAGAATTCTGAGAGCATGATCAGGTTGCTGTACAACTCCTCCGAACCACCGAACTCCAAGTCTTTGTAACCTGCAGCCATAAATCAATTAGCAGTGTCATCACTTGCAGGAGAAGAACATGGGTCTATCTAAAGAACAAATTTAAATAGAGTCGGTGCCACCTTCAAAACTTGAAACATAATTGACCTGGTGGGCGTCCTGATGAGCAAAACTAATCCTTAAATGGAATCTACGGGCGGTGGCATTCCAGGGGAAGGCAGCGGTTAAAGCTCATTGCAGGGGGTGGCGGTGGAGGGCTTCATTGGTGGCAACCTCGACAGCATGAAGCAGCGGTGACCGCCACGAGTACGGAAACATGGGTCGCACCATCCCAGTTGTAAAGGTGCTGGCGAGCTGCAGCCTGCCTCTTCTTCGTGATCCCAACCACTTGTAGCGTCCACCCCTCTGCCCTACCGCCACGCCTTCTGTTCCACAATCGACCACCTGGCACCTACCATGCTAAAAAAATTCCAACTCCAGAAGTTCCCCTAAAACATCTACCCTCTTCTATACGTTAACAACATCCTATAACTACCATTTGAATCCGAACCTGAATGACTACACCTTCAAGCTTGCTTTCACAGGAGGGGTGGGGGCAGGTTGTTCAAGCTCTTCTTCGAGGTCGACATGTTGTGCTCGACACCAATTTGAAGCCTCTGCGTAGGATAGCAACAATAACAAATAGCAGCACAAATGATAGCAGCACAATCTCTATATAAGAGCAAGCATAGATAGCAGCAGCAACAGCATTTGAAGCCTCAATAATTATAAACTGCAGTAGCACAGTGTATAATCAGAGAACACAGATTGCAGCAGAAAGTACAAATAGACTCTCAATCTCGCGCATCTTACTCTCAATATCTCAATCATCTCTTTGTCAATCTCTCAATCATCTCACTCTCAATCTCTCCCAACTCTCTCTCTCTCTCTCAATCTCTCATCACCTAGCACAGCACACGCACATATGCCCGCACAGCCCCAGCCCCAGCGCGCTGCTGCGGTTCCTGTACCACCACCATGCCGGCCATCACACCATCGCCCCGCCTACGGCCGCACTCCCACTGGCCCGCCCCGCCGCCGTCCACCACACATATCCCCCGGCCGCACCTCCTCCAATGGCCCCACATTCCCTCAATTTCTTTGCCCCCGGTGATCCTTTCTCTCGCTCGCGTTCTCCACGCACGCCCTCCTTCCAACCACGCCCCACCCCAACTCAGGCACACGCGGCACAGAGAACGCGCCATGGGCGGCAGCAGAGAAAAGTGCAGGCGGGGAGAAGAGGAGCAACGCCAGGGGCGATTGCTAGCCGGGATGTTTGGGCGGCGGCGAGCAATCGGCGGAGGTGAGAGAGGCATGGACGGGTCGGCGATGGCGGCGACAATGGAGAAGTGGACAGAATTGGAGGTGGCGGCGGCGACTGCATGGAGATATGGGGATAGGAGCGCAAGAGAGAGGGGGGCGTGCAAGGCTTGCTGGGAGAGGGTGAAGTTTCTCCTAAGGCTGGTCATAGCGGAAAGTAACTTGTACTAGTGTCATGTATATGACACTAGTCTAAATAGTAATTTTCATAATGCAAAGTAATATAATAATAGTATTTTAGATGGCTTCATTTATTATCTTATAAACTCATCTTATCTTAGAAAACGCTATGTTACAATAATATATTATGTTACCACCTCTCATTAATTACTTGTCACATAAGCAAAAATTTCTTAAATGCACTATATTACTAGATAAGTTACTCCCACTATGACTAGCCTAACAGTGCAAGGCAAGGCCACGCAACTCTATCACGGGCGATTGAGCCACACCGCTTTTATGGAGCCGAACAGTAAGTGCGTGTTTGGTTGCACGCATGCAGCCCAACCAGACCCGTGTGGGATGTGAGCGGTTTGTTTGCTTGCCTGGCTTGCGTGCGGTTTGAGTCCCGCACAGACCTTAAAGCAGCCTGCAGCCTGGCACAACGGAAACTGCCGAATCGGCAGTTTTCTCGCGAGCCTGGCCGCGCGCGGCCACGCGTGCGAGGCAGTTGCACGCCTCGGGCAGCGGGGAGACGGAGGCGACGTCTCATTACTCTGCCCCCACTCTCCTGCCACCGCTCAGATGCACTGTTCCCATCGCTCCCTCTCTCTTCCTCACCGCCCCTCCCTCTCCTTTCCTCCGATGGCTCCTCCTCCAATGGCCCCACATTCCCTCAATTTCTTTGCCCCCGGTGATCCTTTCTCTCGCTCGCTTTCTCCACGCACGCCCTCCTTTCAGCCACGCCCCACCCCAACTCAGGCACACGCGGCACAGAGAACGCGCCATGGGCGGCAGCAGAGAAAAGTGCAGGCGGGGAGAAGAGGAGCAATGCCAGGGGCGATTGCTAGCCGGGATGTTTGGGCGACGGCGAGCAATCGGCGAAGGTGAGGCAGGCAAGGACAGGTCGGCGATGGCGGCGATAATGGAGAAGTGGATAGAATTGGAGGTGGCGGTGGCGACTACATGGAGAGATGGGAATAGGAGTGCAAGAGAAAGGGGGCGTGCAAGGCTTGCTAGGAGAGGGGGAGTTTCTCCTAACAGTGCAAGGCCACGCAACTATATCATGGGCGATTGAGCCACACCGCTTTTATCAAGCCGAACAGTAAGGGCGTGTTTGGTTGCGCGCATGCAGCCCAACCAGACCCGCGCGGGATGTGCGCGGCCTGTTTGATTGCCTGGGCTACATGTGGTTTGAGGCCCGCACGGACCTTAAAGCAGCCCGCAGCCTGGCCCGGCGGAAACTGCCGAATCGGCAGTTTCTCGCGAGCCTGGCCGCGCGCGGCCACGCGTGCGAGGCAGTTGCACGCCTCGGGCAGCGCGGGAGACAGAGGCGACGTCTCATTACTCTCCCCCACTCTCCTGTCACCGTCCAGACGCACTATTCCCACCTCTCCCTCTCTCTCTCCCTCACCGCCCCTCCCTCTCCTCTCCTGCGATGGCTCCGCCATGCCCACCGTCGCGCCGCCCTCTGACCCCAGTCGACCAGCGCATCGCTGGCATCCAGGAGCGCTGGCTGGCCGGGCTCCTGAACTCGGGCCACGACCTGGCGGCGGCGCTGTGCGCGCCGTCCCCCATCTGCTGTCGGCCACCACGAGCGCTGGACAATGCGGTGCCGGCCGCTCCTGCTCCACCACCGATTCCGGACCTCGTGGTCCTGGGCTCGGCGCCGGTGCCGTCGAGGGAGCCGCCCCTTCTTGGGACCCCATTGGCCACGGGGGTTTTCTTGACCCCTGTCCAAGGGTTTTCTCCGGTCGGCGGGCCGTCCTTCTCGACCTCCGGCATGGCGTTGAGCACGGGGCCGAGGCCGCATGCCATCATCGGGGCCGGCTCCTCGTCTGCTCCGCCCCCTCTCTCCTTCCCGCCGGGGTTTTCACCCCGGCCTCGGTTCGCCGTGGCTGCGCGTGCTCCGGTGAGTCAAACCCCTCAATCTTTGCTCCTAGATGTAGATTAGATGTTTATTTCTTAGGCATGTGGTAGTAGTTAGTCGGTTCGATAGGATTAGATAGGATTATAGCAGATCCGATTGGATGCGATCCCAATCAAATCTAATCGGACTGATCTGTTCTTGTTTTTGTACATTGTCTACTAGGATAATTTTTCTTGTGCTACTGCTTGTGTGCCCTATGATTTGTGTTCATGCTAGTAGGTGTGTTCATGCTAGAATCATGTTGAGTGATGAATGTTAGAATCATGTTGACTGACGGCATGTGCATGTTCTTCATGTTGAGTGATGAATGCTAGAATCATGTTAACTGATGGCATGTTCATGTTCTAGATAGGATCATGTTCATGTTTCATGTTGCTAACATACATGTTCTAGCTAGGGTTTGTGTTGAATGTTATACGTGCATGTAGTAGGAGCATTTTAGAATGGTGCCAAATCTGCATGGCTGCACATGGGTTCTATTGGCACTTGGTGTTACTATTTTTAGATGTTACCATGTTTAGGATAGTGCAGTGTTGAGTGCCAGTTGTATCAAAGAAGGTGGCATTGATCAGTGGACTTGCCCAACAGCAAGTCAACTGATCAGTGCCACTGATCAGTGGCATTTTCCCAACAACAAGTGTCATTGATAGGCAAATGCCACTTATCAATGGCACTTGCTGTTGGACAAAATGCCACTTATCAATGTCACTTATTGTTGGGCAAGTCCACTGATCAGTGGCATTTGCCCAACACCAAGTGTCATTGATAAGTAGACAAATGCCACCTATCAATGGCACTTGCTGTTGGGCAAAATGCCACTTATCAATGGCACTTGCTGTTGGGCAAAATGCCACTTATCAATGGCACTTGCTGTTGGGCAAGTCCACTGATCAGTGCCACTGATCAGTGGACTTGCCCAACAGCAAGTGTCATTGATAAGTGGCATTTCCTCAAAGAGTTTGTGGACTGATTAGTGTCATTTTCTCTTGGGAAAATATCCCTGATCAGTTCCATTTTGCAAAGAGTTTGTGCACTAATACTTGTCATCTTACCTGACAAGATATTGAATACTGACTGGGATGTGCCGGGAGGAGGAGCTCAGGTGGTGGCCGGAGCTGAGCGCGCCGAGGATTTCATCCCCACGAACAGGTGGCTCGGGAAGGTGGACCTTCCTGGCAGGATCGCCTTCATGAGCGTGCCTCGTTCAAGGGGACGATCTCCGAGGCAGGGCCACGAGGAGGGGGCTAGGGAGCCGATGCGCTTCTACCAGCAGATCAAGGACAACGAGGACCTCGCCATGCTCGTCGTGCCTCCCAAGTTCGTGGAGGTGATGAACACCTGGCTGGTCATCAAGCGGCTCCTGCGCGTCGTCAGACTGTCGGCGAACAAGTGGTGCGTGTTCTGGGTGCAGGTGTAGAACTTCGAGGGGCACATGGTGCTTGGCCGGGGCTGGAACTACTTCTGCCGCCGCCACTGGATCGTCCCCGGCGACCTCGTCGTTGTGCGCATCTCAGGACTCGGACCGAAGGTTCAGATCTACAACCACGACTCCTCGATGATGTGCAAGTTTCGTTGCAGCAGACACAATTGCGTTGGTAACATCGATCAGGCTATGTAGTTAACTTAAGTAAGGTGTTAGTGGACAATTTTTATGGTGTGTGGCGAGACTTGTGCTGGTAACTTATTCATATTTTGGCCAGGAGCAGCACCCTGCATGGAGCAGGGAAGGAGGATTTCCCTGCTTTTAATCTAGACTTATGCTATGTAGTTAAGTAGTTTGCTGTCTTTTCCTTGCTTGCTGTGTTAAGTTTGTTGTCATTACATTGCTTGCTTTGTTTTATCTTGATGTTCTGTTGTTGCTGTTGTGCTGATCATGTGGTGGTAAGGCCACCATATTTGAATGGGGTAAGCAGAACACAAACGTTGTTTGCAACCAAACAGCTGAAGTTTGCATCTGCTCACACCCTAAGCACAAAAACGGCAACCAAACAACAGGGGGTAAATCCCTCTCCATGCGATGCAGGCAACCAAACAGGTTGTATCTGCTGTATTTGAGGTTGTATTTCAGCAACCGGGCTGGGTTGAGATGAACATGCAATACAGGTACTGTTCCAAACTGCAACCAAACATGCCCTAAAGAATTCTCCCGCCACAAGGAAAAGAAGCGAACTTACAACTTGCAAGCTCTCACATCGCAGCATTCTTTGGGAGCTTAGTAACTGGATAGATGTTGCGTCCATGAACTACACTCGGCGGAGGGCATTTGTTTGACATGTTTTTGTACTAAAAATCTTAATTTATTTGTTCAAGCCGTGGTAGACCGGCATGCAAGTAAATACAAGCAGATATGAGGAAAATAGCCCGTGCATTGCAATGGGATAAAAGATTATTGCAGTCCGACACTTATAATCCAATCACTATGATTTGCTAAGAAAATAAGTACGGTCAAATATCTTGAACATGAAGAAGAAATGGCATGTAAAGCCGGCCATCTCGGCAAAAAGTCTAACGAACATATGTATTGTTCTTTTTGGGGTGGGAGGGGAAGGGTATGCATTGTTTCACTTGTCCAATTTAATGTACATAGTATTGTCGAAGTTATTGAGATAAGTGTCATAACTTTTTATTATCTCAATTGGCTAAAGCAACCCATTTAAAAAGTAGCCCAAAAACTAACTATGCGGTCGCTTCATCTATATGTTCAAGAGAATTAATCAAGCCCTCAAAAAAGAGGGAATTGGTCAAAAGCAATAAAACCAGCACCAAAAATCCCCACCGAGAGGGCTACAAGCCCAT